CGGGTTCAAGGAATGGAAGTGGATGAAGAGGTCAATGAAGAAGAATTAGAAATCCAACCCGATAATCAAAACTCTACACCCTCTAGCAGTAAAAAACAGACTAACAAGGACGAAAATGCTGAGCCACAAGCCCCTGCTTCGCGTTCATCCATCGAAAAATTACCTAAGAAGAAGGCTAAGAAACTGATTAGAAGAGAAGATTTGCCCATCTTAAAAAAGTTAATCAAGGAATCATCTGCTCCTATTACACAACAAATTTCTTCTGATAGAACTATTTCTTTGCAGACGTTCCCCGATATGGATATTGACTCAGTTAATTTTTGTGAATTAAATGACAGGATCATCAAAGCCAAAGATGACAATAAAAAAACCGGTCTAGTACTGATCCATTCATATTATTATTTTGGGAAAGGGTATAGGTTATGGTTTGACCATTATAAAAAATCATATAGTGATGATATCTCTAATTCTCTAGTTAATGATAAAATTCGTGAGTATTTTCCAGACCAAGATAAAACTTCAGAGGCTAATCTTAGAAAAAGGAAGGAAAAGGCAATAAAGATCTTTAAACTGTTTAATGGGAGTGGAGGGAAAGATAAGATAAATTGCATTAAATCTTTTTCTGCGTCAACTATTTCGAGGTTGGGCGTGGAGGATATTAATTATGTAATAGCTAAAGTTTTAAAAGCGGACCAATGAAATTACTGCGCCATTTTTTACTCAAGTGTGAACATATGTTTACAGCTACCAAAAATTTTCCAGATTTCAGATAAGCCAAATTTTACTTTTAATATATTCTAGACATGTGTGGTTATCGTTTCACAGTAAAAATAATGAAAAATCCTTACCAATGAAAAATAATAAAGTTTTGCCTATATCAGATCTAGTGTTTTTTTAAATGTGTGATTTGTGTTCTGACTAGGGATGGTAAAATAACGGTTATTTATGATTTGGTTAATTAACTGGTTAATTAACCGTTAATTAACATATATAATTTTTTTATAAAATTTCGAAAAAAAATTTTTATTGAATATATTATATTTATTCTTCATCTAAATTTAATACATTATATTCAAACCCATGATTACTTTCATCAGAATCACTTGCATCATTATTTCCTTCATTTTCATATTATCACTAATTACTAATGCTAAATTTTTTTTTTTGTAATTTTTAAAAAATCCGAAGATTCCCATAAATATAAACTAATTTTTTAACACGTATATTTTGTAATCTATTACGAATTTTATTATGAATGAAACCAAAAGTGTAAAAATTTCTTTCTGCAGCTGCAGATGATGTAGGAAT